GTGTGTGTGTGTGTGTGTGTGTGTGTGTGTGTGTGTGTGTGTGTGTGATGTCAGCACCATAGCGAGGATACAGTTCCGCCTCCCAGACAGCTCCTCCTTCACCAACCAGTTCCCCTCACAGAGCAGGCTGCGGGAGGCTCGCCACTTTGCTGTTCAGGTCTGACCAACGTGTTTTCATGCTGCCGCTGTGCTTCTACTCCGTGTGTTTGATCTTCACATGATTTGCTCGAGGGAATAAATCTCTCTTTTCTCTACAAGTCCAGGGTTCACATCACCATAACATACGTTTTTAATCAGAGAACACTGATCATTGTGATGAACCTCTGTTATACTCGTGGTCATATCTTTAGGGAGCGTAAGGATTCATTTAACAGTACACCATCTTTGAGTTGAGAGATGTAGCAGTAGCATGGGTCACACACAGCCGTGTTGTTGGGTGGGGACATCTGTACACATCACACTTGGAGGCTACAAAACGTCCTCTCTAAACGCGTGATGCTTCCAAAGTCACCGAGTTGTTGTTGTTTTCAATAGTCGTGATCTCAATACCACAGTAATAGTGTTGATGTTTGTTGCCACCAGCCCTGTTGGTGAGTGTGACATGTCTGTGTTGTACTGATGGAGTCGTGCTGGAGACGTGTATGCAGGAGTTCTGTGAGCTGTTACACTTCTAGAGTGATCCGGGTTCAGTCTCTGTTTGTGTGGAAACAGCAGCAGAGGGTTTGGTGTCGGTTCTCACACGTTGCACTTTCCTCACACTGATTCTGAAATACATACTCAGACCGACAAGTTCACAGTATCTGACATAGAGGTGCACAGCTGAAAGGTTGGTGCAGTTAATATCACTGTAGTGTTATAACAGCACATGCATGTTGGACTTCAGTATCCATGAGAGTTGACAGGAGTACGAGTACATATACACACAGACATCAGCTCCTGATACCCGTCCGCCTCATTCTCATGAACACATCTCAGGACCTGCAGCGTGTGTTCTTGCTGTTTCTGGGGCAATTGTGGCTAAGTGGATAGCAGGGCCATCTTTCAATCAGAGGGTCGGCGGTTCGAACCCCGGCTCTGCTAGTCGCATGTCGATGTGTCCTTGAGCAAGACACTTAACCCCAAAATTGCTCCCGTAGCTGAGCCTACGGTGTAGAAATGTGATGGACTCTGAATTGTAAGTCGCTTTGGATTAAAGCGTCTGCTAAATGACTGTAATGTAATGTTTCTGCTGATGCAGTGAACAGTGGAGTCATTGTCCAGCATTAATGCAGAGTATCTGTCTCTCAGAGCCAGGGAGCTTAGTGTGGCTCTCCCTGGGTTACCTGCTGCTCACTGAGCCTACCAGTGGGGCTAGTGGAGAACTGGTTCCATGGAGTTGGTGGTCTGGAGTGCTTCATTTGAAAGACAACCATCAGAAGCATGAATAGAGTTCTTGAAATGAGATGAAACAGTAACGGCAGAAGGTGATATTTAACGATATAATGACATAACCAGATCATAAAGTAAGGCTATAATAAGTGGTGATCATGTCTTCAGTATACAGAGTATAGTTCAGAGGAGGAGATAAGAGCTCTATCTAACTGAGATGTTCATGTCTCTCATCCTAGTATTACAAGGTTTATCATTGTTGTCATGTGTTTGTGAGCGGCTCTGTCAGAGGAGCTCTCACTCTGCTCCAGCGGTCTTGTCCCCGTCATCCTGTACCAGTGATGACTCGGTACCTCTGATCTGATGTACCACGGCTAACAGTGAGCCAGATCCCAGAGCCAGCAGGATGCTGGTGCTGCAGAGTCTCTGTGACTCAATGTTTCCACATCACACGGTCACACCTGTAAGTACGCTTTTGTGCTGCTTCTGTCTCAGGAAGTTGGAAACCGCTACGGAAACTTCTCCCTGGCGACCATGTTCCCTCGGCGGGAGTTCACCAGTGAAGACCTGGACAAGACTCTGCTGGAGCTGGAACTGGCTCCGAGTGCTTCCATCGTGCTTCTGCCAGTGAGTAGACCAGAGCCCCTTCCACGTGTCACCCACTCTTCACGTAACCAAGTCGTCCCCGAAGCATACAAGTAGAGCAAAGCAGTGTGCTGCTCAGGAGAGACACCTGGTGTATACGTGTCTGTGTTTAGGAAGGTTTCACCACTTTACCTACCTGTAATAAAGCCCTCTGGTACCTCAAATAGCATGCATATTGGATCACTCTGTAGATTTTATTCATGTATTGTCCTACAATATACCAGATCCTCTGTGTTTTCCAGCTAGACCACAGGCAACGGGCCAGACTACGTCTCTATTCTGCACTTGAGACATAAAGGAGAGAAGTCAGCATCAAGTGTGACTGTAGGTCAGTGTGGTCCCTCCTCACTGAATCTCTTATCTGTAAATAAGAGAAAAGAAATGCTGTCTTTTGGTTAATTGACTAAAAGACGTTGAAGTGTAAATCACACATCACATCAGACATCTGTGGACCCGGCCAGAGATCAGGTTGATGAGGCTTTAGGCCGCCGTCCTCTACTTTCATTCAACACTGGCACTTCAGCTGATGTTCAGTCCCAAGTCTGTGCGTTATGCAGTGCTGGAGTCGGCAGGAGGTTAGCGTAGCTTGTATTCCTTAAATCGCGTCTTGTATCCTCATCATTTGGATGCTCTCTCTTCTAGCAGTCCAGCCGGCCCGCTAACGCGGTGGTCCAGTCCTCTGATGGTGGTATCTGGGCCGTTCTGGGCACACTCGTCTACCCTCTGCTGGCTGTGTGGAGATTCCTCAGCTCCTTCCTCTTTGCTACCCCGCCCCCTCCCGGAGCAGCGTCCAGAGGCCCTGGCCAGCCGTCCGGCTCCTACACCAACTCAGCATCAGCCTCCGACAAAGCAAAGAGGTACGTCTCAGATCCGAGTACATGTAGTGTGCAGTGTGTGCAGTCTGGGGAACATAACAACAAGACTGTGGCTCAGTGAGAGCAGGGTCGTCCTTCAGAGGAGCGACGGTTCGATCCCCGGCTCCGCTGTCGGTGTGTCTTGGGCATGACACTTAACGCAGCTGTGCCTACGGTGTGTGGATGTTAGTTGGTCCTGATGGTAGCCCTGTGATCAGGGTGTGAATGTGTGAATGATGACATGTAGTGTTAAAGAGCTTTGAGTGTCAGAAGACTAGAAGAGAAATACAGTTCAGTCCATTTAGCATCTACATCTACAGCTGTGAACATTGAGGAGCTGTCAGTAAATGCTGACGGTGAACATTGAGTAAGTGACCCCAGCAGTCTGTGAGGACGTGATTCATGCAGCGTTCATTTTGTTGAATCATTTTCGTCAACATTTTTTCCTGACAAAATATTGACTCAGACATGATGACGAAATCTATTGACACTTAATAATAAAACGAGACGAAAATGTTAAGGAAGTGATCCATTCAGAGCTCATTTCGTCCACGCGGGTGCTTCCCAACCGGCTCGAGCTGGGCCTGGGTGAAGGGGGCTCGCGGGTCGGGCCGTGGACTTGGTGCTCTTTTCACCCTCTCCTCCTGCTCCGGGGCGGACCGTCCTCAGTGCTGTCCATGGTGGCTGCTGCTGCTGCTGTTGTGTGACACTGTGATATCATTGAGTCAGTTAGGTTGGTACTGTGGTGATTCACTCACTGTGTGTCCTCCCATCAGAGACACTGTGGACAAGCGGCCCAAAGACTTCAAGAAGGACGGGAAGATCTGCCGGCTCCGGACTCAGGAGGACAGCGAGGACGAAAACAACACCTGGAACGGGAACTCCACCCAGCAGATGTAGCGCAGAACAGCCGTGTGATTAGTTGAGTGTGATCAGTTCAAGGCTTCTGTTCTCTCCTCCTCTTACTGTCTCCAGGCCTCCCCTGCTCCTCGCCTGCATGGGTACATCTTAACAATCAACAGAACCTCCTTTGGCTCCAGCTGAGTGTCTTTGTGTTGATTGTGACGTGGTCGTGTCTCCTAACCCGGGCTCAGGCTACACCAGCTCAGTGGATCAGACGTGCTGATGAAGGAGCAGGTGGACAGTAAGCAGCTGACCTGCAGATGCTGTAGTCTGAGCCTGGCTTCACATTGTTATGAGTCACTGTGATTTGGAAACATTTAACTCTTGAATGGTCGGCTGATTGCCAGTGACCCATGCAGATTATTACCTAACACTGGGACGACGACATTTCTGTTTTACATGTATATGAAATATTCCATCAAACAGCTTGCAGCTGCTGGCTGAGGACTATGCATCTGTTGCTGTTGGAGTTCTACCAAGGTGGTGGTGACACACACACATACACACACACACACCTTGGCATTATGTGTCTCTATTTGTAGACAATGGGTGTAGTTCTCCTCATCCAACAATGAATATTAAAGCAGCCTGTTTTTCAAAAAGCCCTGAAACGTGTCTCGTGTGTTTGTGATGCAGGCTGACGTGGGTCCTTCAGGGTTAACTCTGGGTTAACACCATGGTCACTGCTGTGGGACAGGTTACAGGTGATGATAAAGATAAGAGATCAACTCTTATAACAGCAGCGCAGACCGACCAATCAGAGCTCTGATCAGTGATCAGGCTCACAATACCTGAGCATGGGTTTATGAGTTACATCATTTAAATATTTAAATCTCCTGAAACATTTAACCTGTTAAATAATGTCCAATAGAAACATAATCATATTATTATTATTATTATTATGTGGCTTATTAAATAATGACTTCACAATTAGAATGTCAATAAATACATATAATACAAACACATTCTGCCTGTAGATCTAAACAGAACACAGTATAAAGACTCAATGCAGGTTAAACAGGTTACAGGCTACACTGCTGCTCCGACTGATCACTGTGT